CTTCAAAAGCAATTTTGGAACTCTTTTTCTGGAATGGCCATCAGAGCCGTCATTGTATTACCCTTTATGTTCTGAATTTCAACAAAACGTCTTTCTTTCAATATTTCCCTTATCTTTGGAGAAAGAAAGAAGTCACTGGGGGCCAGATCAAGTGAGTAGGGAGGGTGTTCCAATACAGTTATTTGTTTACTGGCTAAAAACTCCCTCACACACAGTGCCGTGTGAGCTGGTGCATTGTTGTGATGCAAGAGCCATGAATTGTTGGCAAAAAGTTCAGTCTTCTAACTTTTTCACACAGCCTTTTCAGCACTTCCAAATAGTAAACTTGGCTAACTGTTTGTCCAGCTGGTACAAATTCATAATGAATAATCCCTCTGATATCAAAAAAGGTTAGCAACATTGTTGCAACAAAGTTCACGAACTTAATAGTCCAACCTCGTACTTGTTTTATTTGCCTTATACTTATCATTGTGATTTTTCTGTGATTTCTCTTTCTTGTACATTTTAAATCATGTTTTGGTATTATGGTTACCAACCTTCATAGGAGAAAATTTAAAATTACCTATTCTCTTAAAATTTGGTAACACTTGACCAGGGCCCCATCTGATCTGGGACTGAAGTGTTCTTGTGAGAATGTACTTAGCACTGACTCAATTTCTTATACAGTTATAGGGACAAATAGATTTACTCTTTCTTCTTGCATCAGCTTCAGTAACTTATTTGTCCATTTCTCATTTGACTTTTTAATTTTACTTACCAATGCATAAAATTAATCAGTATTTTTACTTTTTTCCTGCACAATATATTATCTGGGGCACTTTAACTCTATTTACCCCTCATGACTTAGGTGCTATTATTATCAAATATTTTATTCCTTTTTCTTTTATGTTTTTCAATTTCATGAGATTTTTTATGCTGTATTCAATTAATGGTAAGATTTAACCACATAGTAACCATTTTTTGCTCTCTCAATAAAATATATGTATGCATATATGCACACATAATAAAATGAACAATATTTAAAGATTGAAAATACATAAAATAATATTATGTTATTTAATGATAAGTACACAAAGAAATTCAAGGATTGAATTCACAGTTATGAGGGGCAAATTAGCAGGCAACAAATAAAGAACTGTATTATAATGTGTACTTTCTCTTGCTGGCTATCAGATAGATTAGTATTTGTTTTATCTCAATTTATATGTGAAATTATTTATAATGTTATTAAATTAATTTAAGTTGCACTTCTGAAATTAGAGTTAAAGATCCAGCTTAATGCTTTTTATCATAATTTCATCTGAAAAAAAAATAAGCAAAAATAAGGACCTGGACTAAATGTATCAGGAAATAAAACAAGAAAGAAAAAGGCTTTACAAAATTAATGCAGGCAAAAAAGCCTAAAGAACCTTGAAGAGATGTGTTGTATAAGGTAAAATATAACAAGAATGCATAGTTTTCACAAATATTTTTGCCATGAATCATATAAACTCCATTATTTTTTAACTGACTTTCTTTTTGCTTCTTTTATTAATTATTGAGAAAAGGTTATCAGAATTATCAAGTATAATTGTGGATCTATCTATTTTTTCAGTTCATTTCTATGAATTTGCTTCATGTATTTTGAAGCTCTGATGTTAGGTACATACACATCCAGACTGTTATGTTTTCTTGATAAATCAACCCTCTTTATCCCCAGTAATATTCTTTACTCCTGAAAATCTACTTTATCTGATATTAAGATAGCCACTTTGCTATATTAATATTGGGTTGTCAGAAAAGTCATGACGTATTTTTTCTATGTTTTTCATTGCAAAAATGCATCATGACTTTTCCAACAACCCAATAGATTAACATTAACATTGTATGTGTATTCTCATTTCACTTTTAACCTTTTTCTTTATAGATAAAGTGGTTTTTTTGTAGACAGCACAAGTTAGTCTTGTTTTTTTAAAAACCAATCTGACAATATCCCTTTAATTAGGGTCATTAAACCATTTACATTTAATGTGATTATCCATATGCTTAAGTTCAAATTTACCATCTTGCTATTTGTTTTTTATTTATTCCTTCTCTTCTTTTTTCTTCTCTTTCATTTCAATTAATAGAGTATTTTTTGTGAGTCTGTTTTGTCATTTTTATTGGCTTTTTAGATATTTGTCTTTGTTTTGTTTTTTAGTAGTAATTCTACAGCTACAGTTTATGTATCATCTTTAGCACAATAACATTAAACAGTATACTTCCTATACCACTTCCCAGAGTTTTTGCTATTTTCTCAAACATATTACTTCTATGTGTTATGAAGGTCACAATACATTGTTATTATTTGGTTTTAAACAGCCATTTAGCCTTAGAGATACTAGATACAATAAAAACAGTCTTTCATCTTCACTCACACGTTTACCATTTTCAATACTCTTCATTCATTTGAACAGAACTAAATTTCCATTGGCAATAATATTTCCTCTGCCTTTGAACATTTCTTAAAGTGGTGGTCTATAAACAATTGGTCGTCATAGCTATGAAAAATGTTTTCAGTTAGACTTTATTTTTAAAATTATAGAAAGATAAAACGGAGACCCTGGCAAGATGATGAAGTATATAATCTCTGTGCCTGTACCCTTCTATGAATACATTAAAATTACAACTAAATTATAGAACAATCAACCTAGAGAACCATCTGAAGTCTAGCCAAACAGAAGTCCTATAACTAAAATTATAAAAAAGCCACGCCGAGACTGGTAGGAGGCGTGGAGACACAGATCGGGTCCCAAACCTTCAGGTGGCGGATGAGAATCAGGAGGGGTGTCTTGGCCATGGAGGTTCCCCCGGGGGAAGCAAGGGCCCCCGGGCCCCCACACCAAGCTCACCAGCCCAGATTACTGGTACCAGGAAGAGGAGTCCCCACAATATCTGGCTGTGAAAAACAGTGGGAATTCCCACCATTTGGGTGGGATAGAAGACTGCAGGAAACCCATGCACAGACTCACTCACTTGCAGGCACTCACCTTGATCTATGGTGGAGGGAGAGTGACTCTGGGGGCCTCGGAGACATGGGGTGAGGCACACTGGGGTGTGTAACTTTGGAGGGAGGACTGGAGGACAGTCAGCATTTTCCCAGGATCCTTCTTCTGTGCAGCCGGCAGGGCAGGTGGGTGCCATCTTGCTTATGTTAAGCCCGCCCCCCACAGGCCAAATCTGAATCTGAATGGCCTAGTGAGCTCTGCTGCTCTGCCCTGGGCTCACTCAGCTGAAACTCTGCCCCATCCGATCACATACCACTGGAAGCAATTTCTCATGAGCAGCCAGCCCTGCCCACATTGCATTCTTTCTTGGGTTGTACACATTAAATATCTGCAGTTCTTCATATATCAATTTTACTTCAATAAAGCTGTTAAAAAAAACAGTGAGAATTGGGAAAAAATAATTTGAAGATGAAAGGAAAGAAAAGTACCAATTTAATTTAATGAAATATGACTATTTTTGTGTATTGTTGGGGTGTTTACAATTGCTCCTTATACAGGTTTTCTATATTTCTTGGTAAATGTATGCCTAGTAATTTTATCTGTTTTTGTTAGTATTATAAACAGCTTATACATTTCATTTTTTCATTCATTTCAGACGTTCATTAAACATTTCATTGTTTGTTCTACTGGCTATTGTTTGTATACATAAGGTTCCACTCACATTTCAATGATGATGTTTTATATCTTGCTATTTTCCTATGCTCTGTTGTACATTGTAATAGTTTTCCAAATATATGTTCATATGAATGGTAACTGAAGACAGATTACCTCCTCCTTTCCAATATTTATGTAACTGGTTACCTTCTTTTGTCTAATTTTATTGTCTATTTCTCCCAACATATGTTTCATATACTGAATGAGATTATTACCTAGACACATTATCACAAATAATTTATAGAATAATGTAAATCAAACACACACATACACATTAACAACCACATATATATTGGCTTGAAGATTCGTTCTATTTAGCTGGTAGGTAAATTATATTAGCAATTCAAAGATAAAAAATTACTGTATAAATAAAACATGTGCTGATTTTTTTTAATCTAGATTGAACCTGAATTCCACTCATTGATCAAGAATATTTGCAGTCAGGTATATGCAGTGTAAACAGACTTGAACTTGAAAAGCTGTGTGGTGCTTTCAAAGATTTCCTTTGTGTCCTCTCCATTACCATCACACAAAAGTGCATCCTTGAGAAACTAATGCCTACTTAAAATCTGTAAAAATTATTGCTAATTTGTTTACCAATTAAAACAACAAATGGTCATGTTCTATTCTAGTAATTAGTTACTAGTAAATATAACATATTTGGAACTCTATGACAAAAGACATACTAAATTAACTTTTTTTTCTCCTTCAAAATGGTTGCATAAAGAAACATAATGGTAATGAGCATTCCCAAGAATGTTGCATAATGAAAGTGTGAAGCTTTAAAACATTGAATAATGTAAATTAGTACCTTCTTTTTTGCAAATATCAATAAACCACCAGGATTTTCCAGATATCTCTTCATTATGCAGAGCAATTTAGCTCTGCTGTAGTTTGTACACTTGAATTAACATAAATTCTCATCACTGTAGGACTCAAAAAAAAGATACTGCAATTTTAAAAAAATTTCTTTTATAATTAATAATAATTTTATGTTGCATGAATTTGAAAGATGTTAATTTTACATACTTCTTAATAATAACCCATGATTATTAATCATTACCTGTCTTTGTTTCAGATACATCTGAATATACTTGGTTGGTGGAAGTGGTGGAAACCATGATAGCAAAGGCAATATTCAAAGTAAACAGTTGCCAGGGAACCAATAGAAGGATATATTTTTAACAAAGGTTAATCTGCTTAATAATGTAATGTATGAGGAAATGCTAAGAGTATACAAATCTGTATAATCTTTTCTCCACTTAAGATCATATTTCTCATCATATCACACTTACCCAACGAGGTTTATTTAAGTTCAACTTCCTAATAGCAAGTTATTGCTATTAAAGTTCCAGCTGGAAACGTCAGGTAAGAAACTTAGAGCAATATATAAGCTATATAAAAGCAATGTATAGTGTGCACTTGATTTTATATTTTACCTTTGGACTTATTTTATATTTTCCTCTAGAAACAATATCAACCATTACAAGGTTGTGGATTAACTTTTTTTTTTTTTAACTTCCCTTGGAAGAAGTTTCAGTTCTATTTTGAAATAATTTGAGGGTTTCCCCACCCCAGGTGTTACACTTTTAGAATAATTATATAGATATTAAAGGAAATGTATTATAGAGCAATAAATTGAGAGTTTTATCTAAGTGTGAGTTCTTTGGCCTCTTTAAAATTTCATCTATTGCCTCTAGTTTCTACCAATGGAGAGTTCATTTGTTCCTTCATTAGTCACACATAAAGTAACAAATAAAATTTATACAAATGTATGGTGAAGGCAAAAATGATTCTTACAAGTGACCACAATGGTCTTCAAAGCAACAAGTGTACAAGGATCAAGATGTGATCCTATGGTAGGTATTTTATTTTCTTAATATTTTATAATGGATTATTTATATTTATGTGTTGTAAATTTATATTCTTTAATATATCAAATAAGTTTTATGCAAAATAAAATTTATTTATTAAAAAAGAAGAAATTTAAAGTTTTTCAAGAAAATCCTGTTGTAAAAGCAATACCAACTGTGATCATGTAAATATTATGCTTGTTTCCTTTTTGTGCAATTAATTAAAGCACATCTTTTATTACCACCTATGATAAAAAATATTTGTATATACTAGCATCTTTGTAAACATGTTAATTTTTTTAACACATCCTATTTCACTAATATTTTTTATCATATTTTTAGATATAATCTCTCAAAAAATTTCTGGAAAGAGTAGATTAGCTTTTCTGTGGTCTGAAGATCAGAATATCAAAAATCACAAGTTTAGAGCCTCATTTTGGAAAAATCTTTTTTACAACCTCTTTAAACTTTATGGTCAATATCATTTTTTCATTTAGTTTTATATTAAATTTAGGAACACAAACAAATCTAAAACTTAACCTAAATAGTTTGAGAAATCTCTCAATACCAGTCACATTACCGGTGTTGTGAAGCCAGAGCTGGTGTATTGAATTAAGAATACGCAGATTCACAACTAGACTGAAGAACAAAAGGACAGCAACTTGTCTGTTCCCTTTCCCCAGATTCCCCAGCGCTGTTCCCCTCCCCCAATTCCTCAATAAAAATCTTAAAAAAAGAAAAAAGAATACGCAGATTATGACCTGCCGAATGAGGAGGCACAGCCCACTCACACTGAGCTGGCAGGTGGTTCCCTCAGCATCTGAGCTCCCATGTTGTGGAGGTGAAATCCATGGGAATTTTTTGATTGAAGGAGCAGTTTCAGTACACCCACACAACGGAAATAGAATTAAGATTTATTACTTACAGACCCCAGAAGTGAGAGGATGCAACTGAGCCATGGGAAGGGCAATTCTCCGTCCAGGTCATGAGCCAGCAGGAGACAGAGAGCAGATTAGCTAGTTTTTGAGCAGCACTTTCTGTACAAGCATGCTTAACCTCGCAATTCTCTTCCAAGAGCCCCTATTCCCTGGTAACATTACCCATCATCTCTTCCATAGATACTTGTACATAGTTTATTTACTTGCAATTTTTTTTCTCAGTGATTCATTAAGATAAAATATTCTCCCAAACATATTATTAAAGTAGCAATAAATATTATACTTACTATGTTTGTACTTCACATTTTAAGTGTTCTCTTTGTAATAATTTTATGTATTCGTAACTAGTAACTACTATACTGTTTAATTGTTGCTAATGACATTATATAAAATGTATTTAATATTGGAAAACCTATAGAGTTAGCATCCTTACATTTCTGGTCCTATCTGAGGTTTCTGTATCCAGGTCTGAGTGTAAAGTTCAGAAATACAGTGGCTTTTAGTAAGAATTTAAGGATTATGAGATGTACAGAGAGGATTGAAGGATCACATTTAAGAAAAAGAACCATAACCAAAGCTAAAGCAGCAAGTTAAGAAGTACAATATACGTTATTCCTAACCCTGTAATTACCATAAAATACAGAGCTACCGTGACAAATATCATGTAGTAGAGAGAAGGCTCTTAAGGGTATTGGTTTGACCTCAAACTGAAAAATAATTCATGTTTTCTTTTTGCTTGAAAAGCAGAGCAATTCATTTGTCACATCTCATCAAATCTTCTACATCAAGCTACATCATGTTAATAAAGAACATTCTGCTGTTGTCTCTTCAGATAAGTCTCCTAGGAAACACTCTTGGTGGGAACATTCTGATTTGGCCAATGGAAGGTAGTCATTGGCTAAATATTAAGATAATTATAGATGAGTTGATTAAAAAAGAGCATAATGTGACTGTCCTAGTTGCTTCTGGTGCACTTTTCATCACGCCCACCTATAACTCATCTCTGACATTTGAAATATACAAGGTGCCCTTTGGCAAAGAAAAAATAGAAGGAATAATTAAGAACTTTGTTTTGACATGGATGGAAAATAGACCATCTCCTTCAACCATTTGGAGATTCTATCAAGAGATGACCAAAGTCATCAAGGACTTCCACATGCTGTCTAGAGAAATCTGTGATGGTGTCCTCAAAAACCAAAAGCTGATGGAGAAGCTGAACAAAAGCAAATTTGAGGTTCTGGTGTCAGACCCAGTATTCCCGTGTGGTGATATAGTAGCTTTAAAACTGGGGATTCCATTTATTTACTCCTTGAGGTTTTCTCCAGCATCAACCGTGGAAAAACACTGCGGGAAGGTACCATACCCTCCTTCCTACGTTCCTGCTATTTTATCAGAACTCGCCGATCATATGTCTTTTACTGACAGAATAAGAAATTTCATCTCCTACCACCTACAGGACTACATCTTTGATACTCTTTGGAAATCATGGGATTCCTATTATAGTAAAGCTTTGGGTATGTAATATATTTTTTGTATTATTTGAATTTGAACAAACAGGTTTGTATCACCTCTTCTTTATTTCCCTATGCCAATTCCTTTCCAATTCTACATATAGATCACTATCTATTTCTATCATTTGATAGTAGGAAAGAACATAAAAGACAATATGCTTTAGAACTATAGTGTGTTGTTTTTCTAATTTTATGGACTTGAAGATACCAACTAAGTTTATTACATATAAGATATAGTTACAAATACCTTAGTTAAAAATTAGGACTGAATTCTCACATACATATTGCATTGAAAATACAAATTTCCTAGAAACTTCAGTGGTGTGTGGGGAAAGCTGAAAGATATTAAGCTTTCTACAAACCCATTATTAATATTGACAAATGTGTGTGTGTTTAAAAGCATACATGTATATGGATCTTCTCTGATCATTGCTCATAGATTTCCTGTTTACTAGGCACTCCCTAGGATAGAGTGGGTACAACAAGGACTGAGATAAAGTTCTTGGCTACAAGAAGTTAGACATGAAAGGGAGTATTTACAATATGAAGGCTATGGATAATAAAAATATGTACAAGTAACAAAGATCGTAAAGAAGATAGGCAGTATGTGACAGAAGAGAAAGGTATTCTGAAAAACTTTACAATCGAAGTGATGCACGAGGAAAATTTTAAACATAAACGTGAATTTTCTTGCAAGCTAAGTGTGGAGAAAGAAACAATATGCCCAATGTAGTGGAATCTAGAAATAGCACATGGTGTTGAGTACTACTGATAATTCAGTATGTATGAAGGTCAAAGTGTAAGATGGGGAGGCACCAGAAAAAAATGCTGGAGATGTCAGGATTGCAAGAATGAATTAATTCCATAAATATTTTCCAAGCATCTTGTATGTCATGCTAAGCATCTTGGCTTAAATCTAATAAACAACTGGGAACAGTTTAAAGAGATATATTATGACTAGACTGCATCTTATATACAACACATGGACAGATGTGGGCCTAGAGTGGAGAAATGTTAGGCTGGAGGCTACTGCATCATTCCAGGAAAGATGTGGTAAGAGCATGTACTAGTGAAGTAGCTTATGAACTAAAAAAATAACACAGATGAGAATACATGGTGACACAATCAGGAGACCAGGCTCTTGATAAACAATTTCTGCTTACATGTGTGACCATGAGCAAGTAATCAAGTTTCTTTGTACCTACACTTACTAATCCCACCTCTAACAGGGCTACTGAAAGGACTAAATTAAGTAACATATAAAAAGGTTTTAGAATAGTATCTGGAAGATAGAAACTGTTCAATCAGTGTTAGTTGTTTATCAGGTAAAATAAAAACTGATGGCTAATTGGTGAGTGTTATAAGGGGTGAGAAAGAGATAAAATTATTTCTTTTTAAATTGAGGTATGATTGACATATAATTAGTTTCAGGTGTATAACATAATGATTTAATATATGCAAAATAATCACAACGATAAGTCTAGTTAACATCCATCACCGTGCAAAATTACAAATATTTTTTCTTGTGATAATAACTTTTCAAATCTACTCTCTTAGCAACTTTCAAATATACAATACATATTATTAACTATAGTAACTGTGCTGTACATTACACCCCATGACTTATTTATTTCATAACTGGAAGTTTGTACATTTTGACTCCCTTTACCCACTTTGCCTATTCCCTAGTTCCACCTGCAAATACCAATCTATTCTCTATATCTATAAGTTTGATTTTTTTTGCTTTTATGTTTGTTTCTTTGTTGTTTTTTTAAGATTCCACATATAAGTAAGATCATATGGTATTTGTCTTTCTCTGTCTGACTTATTTCACTTAGCACAATGCCCTCAAGTTCCATCCATGTTGTCACAAATGACAGGATTTCCTTCTTTTTATGGCTGAATGATATTCCATTATAATTATATATACATGATACATTGATATATGTATGTTACATTTTCATTATCTATCCCTCCATCTGTGGACAGTTAGGTTATTTCCATATCTTGGCTATTGTAAATAATACTGCTATGAACATGGTGGTCCAGACATTTCTTTGAAATAATGATTTTTTTTCCAGAATTAGAATTGATGGAACATATGGTAGTTTATCTTTAATTTTTTCAGTAATCTCTATAAAGTCATGCACTGCATAATGATGTTTCAGTCAACAATGGATCACTACATGAGGGTGGTCCCATAAGATTATAATGGAGCTGAAATATTCTTATCACCTAATGACAACAGTAGATGTAACATTGCAGCACACTGAATTACTCACCTGTGTGTTACCTACTGTGCTGCTAATTGTATAAAAGTATAGTACATATCATACTATGTACTATACTTTTGTACAGTACTTGATGATAATCAACTATGTTACTGGTTTATGTATTTAGTATACTATATTTTTAATCATTAGAGTATACTCGTTTAAAAAGTTTGCTGTAAAACAGTATGCCATATAACACCAGCAACAGCCTCATACATTTCATGTTTACTGCGTCTCTGGATTGCATCATTTCTCTTGTAATTGATTTAATCACATGTTTTATAAACTTAGTGCAGATGAAGTGCAGTATTTAAAAATCTATAATAGCATACAGTAATGTCTTGGCCTTCACATTCACTCACCACTCACTCACTTACTCCCCTATAGCTACTTCCAGTCCTGCAAGCTGCATTCATTGTAAGTGCCCTATACCAGTGTACCATTTTTTAATTTTTTTATACTGTTTTTACTGTACCTTTTCTATGTTTACCTGTTTACACCCTCATGTACTTACCATTTTGTTACAATTGCCTACAGCATTCAGTACAGTCACATGTTGTACAGCTTTGTAGCCTAGAAACAATAGGTTATAGCATATAGCTAGGTGTGTAGTAGGCTTTACCATCTAGTTTTGTGTAAATGAACTCTATGATGTTCACACATTGATAATTTCTCAGAAAATATCCCCATCATTAAGTGGTGCATGACTGTACTGTTTTCCAAAGTAGCTGTACCAATTTACATTCCCACATTGTTATCGATTACCTTTTTTGATACTAGCCATTCTAACAGGTGCAAAGTGATATCTCATGGTGGTTTTGATTTGCATGTCCCTGATGATTAATGATATTGAATAACTTTTCATGTATCTGTTGGACATTTGTACGTCTTTTTGGAGAAGTATTGATTCAGATCCTATGCCCATTTTTTAATCAGATATTTTTTTGCTATTGAGTTGTATGAATTTTTATATATTTTGTATATTAACACCTTATCACACATATGATATTTTCTCCCTTTGGTAGGTTTCCTTTTCATTTGTTCATGATTTCCTTTGTTGTGCAGATGCTTTTTTAGTTTGATGTAGTCCCACTGTTTTTTTGTTGTCTTTACTTTTGTTGTCTTTACTTTCGGTTCAAATTAAAAAAAAAATCACCACTAAGATCCACGTTAAGGAGCTTTCTGCCTTATGTTTTCTTTGAGGAATTCTATGGTTTCAAATCTTATGATCAAGTCTTGAATCCATTTTGAGTTAATTTTTGTATGGTGTAAGATAGTATTCAAGTTTTATTCTTTTGCATGTGGCTGTCCGGTTTTCCCAACACCATTTATTGAAGAGACTTCTTTTTCCCATTGTATATTCTTGGCTGCTTCTTCATAAATTAATTGACCATATATGGGTGGGTTTATTGGTGAGGAGTGTTAAGAAAGTTGTTAGTTACAATTTCCACATCATCTTCTCTAGGTATGTTAAATAATTGTCTCCAAAATTTAAAAAATAGATGTTAATCTCTTGGGATGTAAACAAATACTGATTTATTCTGTCATCTGGATAGAATAAGCATAGCTACTATGACAAATATTAACTATCTTATGATGATAGAAGTAAATAGTCAACATCGTGGGGCTAAAAGTGGATCTAAGAAATGAAAAATAGAGGATGAAATTATGGCCACTTGATTTGGCAATAAAGATATTAAGATCTGCAAAAACTGTCTCGTTTCCTCATGCATATGGTAAACTAACAGTGACATCTGAATATGTGCAGCATCTCAGTTCATGAAATAGAGGAATGTACATGAAGGATTCCTTGCTCGCAATATATGTCTCTCATTATTTATGTTTTTATCAACTACTCCTTCCCAACCTTGTAATAATAATTATTATGGTTATAATTCTCCTTATTCATATTAGTGAGATTATCCCCAGATAAAACTTCCCTATGCTGGCAGTCTCAAATCACATGTATTTTGCTTGTAAGTTAATGCTTGTAATAAAACCACACTATTCTTTCAGTCTTAACACATGAGACTAATATTTCTTAACAATTTGTTCATGGGAATGTAATGAAGATTTCTAAAACTGCTCTTACCGTCTGATTTTGATAATATCATGTTTCTACTCAAATTACACTCTTCTGACTTAGAATGACTATTTAAGTTTGCTTTACTAAAATGTGATGTTCTTATTGATGTCCAGGGACATGTACACTCATATTCAGAAGACCAGGTAAGAAGTAAAAGTACTGAAATGACAGAGTAATTTCTTTTTGTGCAAGTCTTTGTACATGTGACAAACGAGAATGATAAATGGAACTGACTTGTAAAAATTACTTATTTCCAGTTTTTAATTTTAATTTATCTTTTACTTTAGCTTGAATGCTTTAATTGAAGTCATTGCAATAAATCCATATATACTACTCACGTCTCAAATTGTCACACCTGAGTAAATAAATAGGACAACTTTCTGTAAGATTACTTTTCTACAGTGCAATGCAATAAGAACCTCAGTGTGGGTCCTTAACCTGTGTTAATTGCTAGAAATTGGATATTATATTGTCAAAATCCTTTTTTTTAAATTTCAGGCCATGGGTATTTTGTTCAAACTCATGGATATCATTATAGTAATAGCGGTTAACATTTGCTGATCTCCTATGCACTACACACTGTGAAAAGTACTTCACATGTATTATCTGTTAATCCTTGCAATAAATTTGTGAAGAAAAAACTG